GTTTGCACGGGCACGATCGCTGCCAGTTTGTGGGGGTGTCTCAGGCGGTTTGCTTGTTTTCATGCCCGACATCCTTTGCTTTCAGAGCTGATTTTGAGGGTGTCTCAGGCGGGGCGCTGGTTTCAGCACCCCTCAAGGGAGCCGCCATACGGGTGACTCAGATTCATTCATTCGCATTAGGATTCGCTCGTCTTCGTCGGCCCTGTCGCCCATGTGGACGCGCCATTACAGTGAAGCGCCCATGAACAGACGCTCACTATGGCATGACATAAAACATGAGATGTACATATGGGGAGCTCCACGCAGTGAGTAATTATTGCCCATATCCTAAGATGGGGTTATTGGTATATCCTCCTCCCTCTTTTCGCCCCCTTCTCTTCTCGTCTCCTCATGCGAGACTTACTCATGTCCAGACTTACTCACACGCAGACTTACTCAGACTGAGACCTACTCACAGTGAGACTTACTCATACCCAGACGTACACATACACAAACTTATTCATACACAGACTTACTCATTTTCATGCGGGTCTCAGGCGGTGCGCTGGTTTCAGCGCCCCTGAGGGGCGCCGCCAGGGGTGTTTGCGCGGGCCCGTTCGCAGCCAGTTTGTGGGGATGTCTCGGGCGGTTAGTTCGTTTTCATGCCCAACGCCCTTGGCTTTCAGAGCAAATTCTGATGATGTCTCAGGCGGGGCTCTGGTTCCAGCACCCCTAAGGGGCGCCTCCAGGGGTGTTTGCATGGGCCCGTTCGCGGCCAGTTTGCGGGGATGTCTCGGCGAGGCGGTTCGTTCGTTTTCATGCCCAACGCCCTTGGCTTTCAGAGCAAATTCTGATGATGTCTCAGGCGGGGCGCTGGTTCCAGCACCGCTAAGGGGCGCCGCCAGGGGTGTTTGCATGGGCTCGTTCGCGGCCAGTTTGCGGGGATGTGTCGGGCGGTTTGTTCGTTTTCATGCCCAACGCCCTTGGCTTTCAGAGCAGATTGCGAGGATGTCTCAGGCGGCGCGCTGGTTTCAACACCCCTATGGGCAGCCACCAAGGGTGTCTGCACGGGCCCGTTCGCGGCCAGTTTGCGGGGATGTCCCGGGCGGTTTCCTCGTTTTCATGCCCAACATCCTTGGCTCTCAGAGCATCTCAGGCGGTGCGCTGGTTTCAGCACCCCTAAAGGGAGTCGCCAGGGGTGTTTGCACGGGCCCGTTTGCGGCCAGTTTGCCGGGATGTCTCAAGCAGTTTGCTCGTGTTCATGCCCAACATGCTTAGCTTTCAGAGCAGATTTTGAGCATGTCTCAGGCGGGGCGCTGGTTCCAGCACCCCTGGGGGGAGCCGCCAGGTGTGTTTTCACGAACCCGTTCGCGGCCAGTTTGTGGGGATGCCTCAGGCGGCTTGGTCGTGTTCATGCCCAACATGCTTAGCTTTCAGAGCAGATTTTGAGCATGTCTCAGGCGGGGCGCCGGTTCCAGCACCCCTAAGGGGAGCCGCCAGGTGTGTTTTCACGAACCCGTTCGCGGCCAGTTCGTGGGGATGTCTCGAGCGGTTTGCTCGTTTTCATGCCCAACATCCTTGGCTTTCAGAGCATCTCAGGCGGTGCGTTGGTTCCAGCACCCCTAAGGCGAGCCGCCAGGGGTGTTTACACGGGCCCGTTCGCGGCCAGTTTGTGGGTATGTCTCAAGCAGTTTGCTCGTTTTTTTCATGCCCAACATTTTTAGCTTTCAGAGCAGATGTTGAGGATGTCTCCGGCGGGGCGCTGGCTTCAGCACCCCTAAAGGGAGTCGCCAGGTGCGTTTGCACGGGCCCGTTCGCTGCCATTTTGCACGGGGTGTCCCAAGCGGTTTCCATGTTTTCATGCCCAACGCCTTTGGTTTTCAGAGCAGATTCTGGGGATGTCTCAGGCCGGGCGCTGATTTCAGCATCCTTACGGGGAGCCGCCAGAGGTGTTTTCACGAGCCCGTTCGCGGCGTTTGTGGGGATGTTTCAGGCGGCTTGCTCGTGCTCATGCCCAACATCCTTGGCTTTCAGAACAAATTCTGAAGATGTCTCAGGGGGGGCGCTGGTTTCAGCACCCCTAAGGGGAGCCGCCAGGGGTGCTTGCACGGGCCCGTTCGCGGCCAGTTTGTGGGGATGTCTCAGGCGGTTTGCTCGTTGCTATGCCCAACATCCTTGGCTTTCATAACATATTGTGAGGATGTCTCAGGCGGGGCGCTGGTTTCATCACCCCTACGGGGAGCCGCCAGGTGTGTTTTCATGGGCCCGTTCGCGGCCAGTTTGTGGGGATGTCTCAGGCGGTTTGCTCGTTCTCATGCCCAATATCCTTGGCTTTCAGAACAGATTTTGAGGATGTCTCAGGCGGGGCGCTGGTTTCAGCACCCATAAGGGGAGCCGCCAGGAGTGTTTTCACGGGCCCGTTCGCGGCCAGTTTGTGGGGATGTCTCGGGCGCTTTGCTCGTTTTCATGCCCAACACCCTTGGCTTTCAGAGCATATGTGTAAGATGTTTCAGGCGGGGCGCTGGCTTCAGCACCCCTAAGGGGAGCCGCCAGGGGTGTTTGCACGGGCCCGTTCACGGCCAGTTTGTGGGGATGTCTCAGGCGGTCTGCTCGTTGTCATGCTGAGAGGAAGGAGATGAGGCGTGCTGCTCCCTTGGCTAAACGCTCGTTTTACAGATCCCACTGCCAACTTTCTTTAAACATATGCACATTACCACCGACTGAGGAGGGTACGGCCAGGCAGCTGAGGATTGGGAATGAATGGGAGGCTCATACTCAATCAGATTCAAAGCTCATTCTGTATTCACTCACTCGCATTCGGATTCACTCGTCTTCGTCGGCCCTGTCGCCCACGTGGACGCGCTATCATAGTCAAACGCTCATGAGCAGACGCTCGCTATGGCATGGCATAAAACATGAGATGCACATTTGGGGAGCTCCACGCAGTGAGCAATTTTCATTAGCACGTTTCCTGTGTCCGTTATGACGATGCTTTGTTGGGTAGATATTACACCACCGTTCAGCAATCATATGTGGAAGGGGCGACGATGAGCATGGAGGAAGATTCGCGACGGTGTGATCCAGCAGCGACGTGTCAAATAAAGTGCACATGCAATCCCACCAGCCCTCTGGGCGTAGGTGGTTTAGGGAAGTTCCTCTTCCACCCCTCCTTCTTCACCTTCGGGGAGCGGTTTACCCCTCCCCCTAACCCCCTCCCCTGGACTTGGACGGGGGGGGCCACAAAACGGCCTCGGCGAGGAAGCCACAATCATCGATTTTACTATGGTTTTGGCCCCATTTTGGCCTCTTGGGGGGGCTGGGCTAATTAACCCCACTCTCTTCTTTGATCGATCTCGTCCAAGATGGCCCCAAGAGGCGCAAAGGAGGCCCCAAGAGGCTTCCAAAAGGCCTCCAAGAGGCCCCAAGAGGCCGCCATGAGGCCCCAAGAAGCCCCCAAGAGGCTCCAAGAGGCTCCCAGGATGGTTCCAAGAGGCCTCCAAGAGGCTCCAAGAGGCCGCCATGAAGCTCCAAGAGACCCCCAAGAGGCCCCAAGAGGCTTCCAACAGGCCCCCAAGAGCCCCCCAAGAGGATCCCAAGCGGCTTCAAGAGGCCCCCCCGAAGCACCCAAGACGCCCAAGAGCCCCCATTGACCGCCAAGAGACCCCCAAGACGTCCGAAGAGGCTTCCAAAAGGCTTCCAAGAGGCATCCGAGCGGCATTCAACCATCCACCCAGCGTCATCATTATCCTCATCCCTCCTTCGCTCGGTTCCTCGCCACCCCCTCATCTATCCATCTGGCCTCCTCTTCCGCCTCATCCTTTGCACGGATCGGCTGTCCCTCTCGTTGCTCCCCCACTTCCCTGATCTGTACAACTTGCCTGGACATCGTTTCTGGATGGGCTGGTGGGGACACGCGAAGCGTCAAGAATTAGAGAGTGTACGCTTGAGCGGTGCCAGCCCCTTTGTCGGTGTTATTTGTGCGTCCCGAAGTCCGAGGACTTGACTCACAAAGATGCCATACCTGGCAGTACGAAAGCTGTGACGGCCCTACACTACCCAGCTGTTTGCTGTAACCCCGCCACCGTGCCGGCGCAGCATCGACATGCACGCACCAGGGTTCTACGGAATCATCGAGCAGGCAGGCTTGGAATTATCTTGGGGCCATCCGTGACGTTGCCAGGTTGTTGCTTGTCTGTCGGGGGGGGGATATTGAAGGCCTGTTTGGTGTTTCTTGAGGGCCTGTTTGGGGCAACTCGGAGCCTTGTTTGGAGCGTTCAGGCCATGTTGCGCGCGAAAGAGCCCTCCCGAAAAGACTCTGGCTGGTCGTGTCTTGTGGGGTTATCGTGGGCCGTCTTGGGGCTCTCGTGGGGCTGTTCTGGACCGACTCGTCTCGGGAGCCCTTTGTGGCTTTCCAGAGCCGTCGGTCGACAAGCCATGGAAGAACAAGGCGATTAAACATATACATGATATTGTTGGCTCCCTGGTCGCATCTTGGGGGCTTGTTGAGATCTCTACGGGCGTCTTGCGAACAGACTGAGGCCTCTCGAGGTATTTAGCCAGATTGGGTTAGTCTTGGGGCATGCCGCCTGCGCCTTGGAGCGGTCTTGAGGCGCTGTGGGGCCGTCTTGAGGCCATGTAGCGCGCTGGGGAGCGTCACGTAGAGGGGCGTTCTTTCTAAACGCAGTCTCTGGCAGGGTGCATGATGCAAGAGTGGTGAACCGACTTGACAGGACAGCTAACGGGCATGCTGAAAGCGCGCAACAACAATTATTGTGAGAAGTTTCGCTGGTTTGCAGGCGCCCCTAAGAAGAATCATTGGCTTCATAGTTTCGGCAGAACGGAACCTGGGTAGCAACAGTATTTTCGTACGCGTGCAATCATAGCACCATGGTGTTGTTGCGCCTTCTTCTCTGAGGGTGGAAGCGGTAAATCACCCAGGAAGTTTCAGCCACGGCTTAACATTGCGCAGTGCGCCAGCGTAGTCACCATCGTTGCGTCGCATCTACCATTGACCGCCCCAGGACATACAATTGGCTTCAGCTGTCAAAGAGGCGTGGTGCTGATTTATTCGGGTGGTCAACCGACAACACGTATCAACTGAGCGATGGTGTAGGAGTCGCGTGCGTAGTTCAAGTGGTTAACACCACGGTTTGCTGAGGTGCCTCTTTTTAGTGCACGATTCTGCAACCCCCACATCTCATCTTGACTTTGTGGCTTGTGTTTGCAATGAAAGGATTGTCATGCACACGCGTTGCACACTATGGTTTGCATTCAGCATTCCCTCGCACATGCAAAGTGCTGCTCATACAATACCGCACCTGCCCTAGTAGGCAGAGGCCCTGGAATACGAGTGCACTCCTCTAGCTTCGGATTCAACCGATGCTCAAACTTAGAGTAGCTGTGAAATGATGTCATAGTTTGCTACAAGCCCAGGGCATGCGTTATATTACCATCGGTTGACGCATATGCATGTGAACACATTGGTGAGATGCGTGTTACAAAAGGGCACGCATCCCCATTCGCAACGGCGTGCTCGATTGTCGTTCGGCTACCTCCCAAATTTACAGAGGTAGAGCCAGTTGTGCGCGCGATGCCGGCATACACACACACACACACACACCATTGCAGCACATATGCTCAAAATGTTGACAATGACAGCAGCAGCCACTGGAATCGCGCATGTGGGAGGGCCCCAGGCAAATTTGGTTGGGCCTTGGAGGAGGGAAGCATGGGTAAGAGGTCTACGCCGGCCCGATGGTACCTATTCATTTTTGACGAACACCATTGCGTTTGTGAGCCAGACTCGTGGGTCTGACAATTGCCGCCGAGCAACAGTCGTCGATCCAGTTCTTTTCGGTTTTTTTCGCCCGTGGGCCATCCCAGGTGCCATTGGTGGGTGATTCGCTGACTGCCAGCTGGAACGTCTCTTCTTGCTCTTGGGCCACGTTGGAGTTCTCTGAGTTTGGGGCGTCTTGGCCTGTGTTTGCGCCGTGTGGTTGTTTCGGAAGCCGTCTTGTGACCTACCTGGAACGTTTCGGGGACCCCTTGGGGTGTCTTAGGCACCTTGTGGACCCTTTTTGGCTGCCTCGGGCTTGCTTTGGTGCCGTCGTGCGGCCGTCTTGAGCGTTTCTGCTGCGATATTCTGGACCTTTTGGGTAATTTTTTTTCCGGGGGGCGAAAAACGGAAAGCCCCAAAAACAATGAAGACATTTGGGGGGTCTTGGTGATGTTGGCCTCCTGGGGCCTCCTGGCTTTGAGGGGGTGCCTTGAGAAGGGTATTTCCATAACGCGTTGTTCGTCCGCCGCCGCCCTGGTTCAAGGCGGCGCCGCCCGGGAGGGTCTCAAAAAAAAATAAAAGATCTTAAGAAAAAGTAGCAACATAGATAAGATCGGATCTTAAAAAAGAATAACGGATTGTAAAACAAAATAAGAGATTGTAAAAAAAATAGCGGGGGGCCTCGGGCGACCTCCGGGTTGCAAAAAAATAAATAAAGGATTGTAAAAACAAATAACAGATTGTAAAAAAAATAGCGCCGTGGAAGGTGGGGGCAGAGCGGGGGATCGCCGGCGACTTCCGGATTGTGAAAAAAATAACGGATTGTAAAAAAAATAGCGGGGGCGTGAAGAAAAAATAGCGCAACGACCTCCGGGTTGCGAACACAATAAGCCATCGTCGTCGTGGTTGTGGTCGTCGTCGTCGCCCTTGTCGTCGTCGTCGTCGTAGCCGTAGTCGTCGCCGCCGTCGTCGTCGTCGCAGTCGTCTTCGTCGTCGCCGTCGTCGTTGTCGTCGACGACCTCCGGGCTGTAAACAGAATAAGCCATCGTTGTCGTGGTTGTGGCTGTCGTCGTCGGCCTCGTCGTCGTCGTCGTCGTCGCCGTCGCCGTCGCCGTCGTCGTCGTTGGCCTCGTCGTCGTCGTCGCCGTCGTCGTCGACGCCGTTGTGGCCGTCGTCGTCGGCCTCGTCGTCGGCCTCGTCGTCGTCGTCGCCGTCGCCGTCGTCGTCGTCGGTCTCGTCGTCGTCGTCGCCGTCGTCGTCGACGCCGTTGTGGCCGTCGTCGTCGGCCTCGTCGTCGTCGTCGTCGCCGCTCGCCGTCGCCGTCGCCGTCGTCGTCGTCGGCCTCGTCGTCGTCGTCGCTAGGGTTTAGGGTTTAGGGTTTAGGGGTTAGGGTCTAACACGGCAAGGCCAGGAAAACCTACCTGCATAGGCACTCACCTGCGGTGGCTATCAATCCCCCCCGCATCTCCACCCCCACATAAAGATCATCTCTCTTCTCCTTGTGACAACATCGCTCTAACAGATGGCGCGCGTGCTACAACACGAAGCTTGTGAGGTGTCGACAATCATGGAAAGCCATGTCGGCAATTATGAAAACCCGTGTCGGTTGTTATAGAAATCCGCATCGGTTGTTATGGAAACCCGTGTTCACTTATGATAACACAGATTCAATTTGGAAACCGAAAGTTATGGAAACCCGTGTCAGTAGTTCTGGAAACCCGTGTCGGCTGTTATTTGGAAATTCTTGTCGGTTGTCCCAGAAGACGTCCCAAGATGTCTCCAAGACGGCCCACGAGACCTCCAAGACGGCACAAGAGGGCCCCAAGAACACCACAAGAGAGGCACCAGGGGGGGATCACGAAACAATATTTCGAGCCCTCGGCCCTCAGAAGTCCCCGGGAGGCCCCAAGAGGCCCATAAGAGGCCCCAAGAGGCTCCCAACAAGCCTTCAGGAGGCCCCCAAGAGGCCCCAAAGCGGCCCCTGCAGGCCACCCACATGCCTCCCCCAACACGCAAGCAAGTGCCAGCGACGCTACACGATGGGCCGGCGGAATGAGCGAAGCGATTCAATAAGTGAACTGACGTCATAGAGTGACCTCACAACCAAAACATCTATGAACATCTAAGTATAGAGTGCTTGAAGCAGAGCATAGCAGAGGACAACCGCCTGAGAAGAGACACGCCGTTGAAATAGATCGAAACATCGCATGCAAATTAGCACAGAAAATGAGACATAGACAGCACTGGACATGGTGCTGCAGACATAATAACACAGTCCAATGGAATGCCATGCCAAAGACCATGAGATAGAAATCGCAATAGTGTGAACGTGATATGCTATGTCACGCCTCTCGTATGCTATGCCAGCATAACATAGATTACAAAACGCGAGTTCCACACCATCTGGGTAACCTCAGCTTCTAGCGTGGCTGTCGCATAGCACCAAGCGTGCCGAAACAACACAATGCATCAAGATGGAGACCAATGTCGAACTGTGAATCGTATATACTTCGGCTTCACGAGAACCCAAGACAGCCCAAGAAGCGCCCAAGACAGCCTCAAGAGAGCCCAAGACCCCCCACCCCAAGAAGATATCCCAAGAGGGCTCCAAGACGGCCAACGAGACCTCCAAGACGGCACAAGAGAGCCCCAAGAACACCCCAAGAGAGGCACCAGAGGGGGAACACGAAACAATACTTCGAGCCTTCGGCCCTCAGAAGTCCCCGGGAGGCCCCAAGAGGCCCATAAGAGGCCCCAAGAGGCTCCCAACAAGCCTTCAGGAGGCCCCCAAGAGGCCCCAAGGCGGCCCCTGCAGGCCACCCAAATGCCCCCCACCCAACACGCAAGCAAGTGCCAGCGACGCTACACGATGGGCCGGCGGAGTGAGCGAAGCGATTCAATAAGTGAACATGACGTCATAGAGTGACCTCACAACCAAAACATCTACGAAAATCCAAGTATAGAGTGATTGAAGCAGACAGAGGACAACCGCCTGAGAAGAGACACGCCGTTGAAATAGATCGAAACATCGCATGCACACTAGCACAGAAAATGAGACATAGACAACACTGGACATGGTGCTGCAGACATAATAACACAGTCCAATGGAATGCCATGCCAAAGACCATGAGATAGAAATCGCAATAGTGTGAACGTGATATGCTATGCCACACCTCTCGTATGCTATGCCAGCATAACATATATTACAAAAGGCGAGTTCCACACCATCTGGGTAACCTCAGCTTCTAGCGTGGCTGTCGCATGGCACAGAAAGCCCCGGACACGACCGCGATAGCCCCTGGGAGCCTCCAGGAATCCTTGAGAGCCACTAAGCCCCTGCGAACCCATCGGAGCCCATTAGAGCCCCAGCTTCGAAGCCTCTAGGAGCTCCTGGGAGCCCCCTCTGGGAACCTGTGAGAGCCCCTTAAACACAGGATCCCCTTGCACCGGCCGCGGGAACCCTTGAGAGCCTCCGATAGCCCCTGAGAGCCCCTGCGCCCCTGGCACCCCTTGGAATCATCGGGAGCCTCTGGGAGATCCTGGTTCTTCATATTCAGGATGCACGCGGAGAACGATCCAGCCCACTAGAACCCAAGTTTCGAAGCCTCTAGGAGCTCTGGGGAGCCCCCCTGGGAACCTGTGAGAGCCCCTTAGAACACAGGAACCCCTTGCACCGGCCGCGGGAGCCCCCTAGGAGCCTCCGATGGCCCTTGAGAGCCCCTGCGCCCCTGGCGCCCCTTGGGCCCGACCCGCCCGTTAGGGCCCCGCCCGCCCGACCCGCCCGTTAGGGCTCCGCCCGCCCGACCCGCCCGTTAGGGTCCCGCCCGCCCGACCCGCCCGTTAGGGTATAAGATGAGAGGAGAGATGATCTTTATGTGGGGGTGGAGATGCGGGGGGGATTGATAGCCACCGCAGGTGGGTGCCTATGCAGGTAGGTATTCTTGGCCTTGCCCTGTTAGACCCTAAACTGCAAGCCACGGGCGGTGCATCGTCAGAAGCCCGTGGCGCCTGGCCGAGCGATCAGCGAGTCCGCCCATGCGCGCGCGCCGCACCGACGAAGCGGCGATAGCCGCTGAGGAGGATTCGCATCCCGCGGGTATGCATCCCCGTGGGTGTGCTTCTGAGAATAGAAAGAACCCTTAACCCAAGGCCCCAGCCAAAGGGTCCGCTACGGTCGGTGCCGTCCCCTGGGGCTCCAAACCTATGAAAATACAGCATGCGGCGCCCTTTCGGCCGTCCGCGGGGCCGCAAACCATATGAAAATACAGCCTGCGGCGCCCTTTCGGCCGCCCAAGCGCTCCCAGGCGCTCCCGGCACGCTCTCAGGCGCTAGGAGGACTTCAGAAAAGGAACCCTTAACCTTCAGCCCTAGCAAGCGGGTTCTCCGCGAGTCGCTACATCCCCTGAGGTTGCAAACCCTATGCAAATACAGCATTCGGGGCCCCTGGGTGCTCCAAACCTATGACATTACCGCATGCGGCGCTCCAAGCGCTTCCAAACGCTTCGGGCGCTCCCAGGGACTCTCCAACCGCTCCCGGAACGCCCCCAGGCGCTTCCGCAAGCGCTCCCAGGCGCTCCCAGGCTCCCAGGCGCTCCCGAACTCGCGAGGGGGTGCCAGACCCACCCCCTCGCGCTCCCCCTCCCCCCGACACGAATCTCTGTGGCTCGCCATCGCGTGCGCTACACTTCCTGCCCGCATTCATGCATCCTCCGAGTGCCGAACGCGCGTGCGACGCATGCGACGCCGCCCGCGGTCCTTCTCGCGCCATGCTCAGGCTGGTGTCATGCACACACACACACACAAGCAGTGTTCACCGCCACCGCCCGCGCTCGTGCTCGCGCCATGCTCATGCCGGTGCCATGCGTACACAAGTAGTGTTCACGTCTGTGCCGCGCTCTTGCACGTGGCGCACACGGTCACCAGGCGTGCGTTATACATGCGAATGCGAACGCGCACGCGCTAATACCCACGCTCGCGCTGAACATCCGACGCATCAAGGTTTTCCTAAACGCATCGAAAGGAACCGCTGAACAGTCGCTGCCCTCAAGCAATGCACGGCATGTCGATGCTGGCACTAAGAGCTTCGGGCCTCGGGGCCAGAGCGAGCATCCGCGCCCCGCCGAGCCACGATGTAATCACAGAACGCTGCTGCCGCTAAATCATGCAAACGCTGGAGTGAAGCTGCTACGCTCTACATGGCCCCCAATCATATAATCATCCGAGGTGGCCACGCGGCTGAGCGCAGTATATCCGGCAGCTGGCCTCGGCCATCCATCTAAGTATATTGTGATATGCGAAAATTCATCGCCCTGGACCTTATCTATCGTGCTAGCGTATCCTAAACGAATCGGAACATATACAGCATTATTCTTCTCGCGATCAGTCCAGCGGAAAATAGCGAGGCGGTGCCCCGTCTATGTCTTCACGCGCAGGACGTCTTCGGCCTCGTGGTAGTTCTCGACCACGCATAACATAACATTCACGAAATCATCCTCTTTGCGAACGTTCTTCGTGAGCTAAAATCTGCATGCCCTTGTAAACCGGCACAGCGCTCGGCAGGGGGCGGCGATCGGTGCGGAACTGCCCATGCTCGTAGTTCTCTGGGTTCAGCTCCACGTCGCCTGGAAGGACTGCCAGCGGGGACTTCCGACCATACAGAGCCTTCACTGCAGCTTCGTTCACTGCATTGGCTCCCTTCTGGGTGCACGTGACGACGGTCGTCTCCGGGTGCGCTTCGTAGAGCTTCTTCAGATCCGTCGGCGTCGGATCGCCCATCTTCCAAGCTTTGTGCCCCCGACAGATCTTCGCCAACGTCTCCTTCGACGGCTTCGCCGTGCGGATCTCGTCGAGGATCTCCTGAAAGCGCTCCTCCTTGCATCTCCACGCATCTTGCAGCTTCACGTGATAGCACGCTGGCCGCGACCAGGCGGCGCTCTCCCATGCGCGCGTCTCCCCGACGCCCGGAAGCTGATACTTGTCGCCCAGGAACACGAGCGCCGGGACCTTCTCTGCGACGCTCCACAACTTCACCATGCGCTCAAACTGTGGACAGTCAAGGAGCGACACCTCGTCCACGACGACCAGGTCGTACATGGTCATCAGCGGCAACGACTCAGTGACAGGCTCGTTCAGCTTGAACGCTGCGTGACACGCGGCCACCTCCACGCCGTGCATGTCGTTGAGCGCGGCCCGCATGCGGCTCGCGAGCTGTGCCGTCGGGAGCGCGAAGAGCACTCGGGCGCCATTGTCCTGGGCACGCCGGATGCAAGCCTTCACCACGGTAGTCTTCCCCGTGCCTGGTTTGCCGAGGCAGATAATGGGTTTCCCCTTCTGCCATGCCTCCTCGCGCGCATCGTCTGCGTCCTCCCAATCATCCGAATGGTTCGCTCTGAGCGCACGGTCGACGCTCTCGTTGATCGCGGACTCGAACTGGAGCTGCTGCTGTTTGAACCTCACGTCCGCCGCTCCCTCCGCGTCGTCTCGCGGACGTCTGCGATTCCCATCCGCGGCCGCCTCCGCCTCCGCCGCAGCGCTCTCGTCGCTCTTGTCAAGAACACCCGCCAGATACATATTGATAAGCTTCCTTTGCCCCACGACCATGCTCAGAACGTTCTCGCTGAACTTCGTCGACTTCGCGGACGCCTTCATGTAGTCCACGAGAAGCTTGTCGTTGGTGAACAGGTCGCGATGCTCTGCGGCGACGCGACTTTGGTCCGAGCACAGCCGCAGCGCCGACGCCAGGTAGCGGTACTTCCTGGGGACACGCTGTTCTATGTCTTCGAATACTAACTCGTCCAGCGAACGGAACGGCACGTTCATGGCAGCCCACTGGCCGTAGTAGCGGTCATTCAGCTCGTACACGGTCTCGACGCTGACGACTTTCTCGCCCTGCATGCGGTGCGCCCGCGCGAACTGCTCCAACTCGGGGAAATCCACCTCGTCGTCGCTCTTCTCCCGCCTATACCTCGCGGCGAGATACTCCACGAATGTCATCGGCGCCTCCTCGCTGTTCGGCTCGTCCTTGAACGCGGCGCGGAGGCTGCGCCAGTAAGCGTCGAGCGTCAGCGGCTCCTTCCCGTCGTCCATGGTCTTCCGATACCTTTGGTAGAGCGCCATCATGAGCTCCTGCTTGTGCTTGCGAACCAGCCAACCCGCGATGTTCCCGTCGTCGTTGGTCTTGCGCAACCACTCCAGCAGAGCCATTCCGTCGTGGCGCCACGCGCACTCGGCGTACTTCTGCACCCACTCCGGCACCACTGACATGCCCGCGTAGGGCGCCGAGACGATGCGAAACCCGCCACTGGCCGTAGAGATGTCGTACTGCCGGAACTGGGCGCCGCACAGCTGCAGAATCATCTCCGGCTCGTACGGGTGATACTCGAAGCACACGCGGCGCGCCACGCTGTCCGCGGAGGCGCTGTCGCTCATCCACTCGTCGTAGCTGCTGTCGGAGAATTTGGCTACGTACTTGGAGACATACTGCAGGAGCATGGCCTCGCCGTCGCTCTTCAGCCAATCCTGGTGGCATGGTTGCCCGTCCATGACGTCAGCGCAAAAGGCTCGCATGCCCGCGTCGTGGTCGTTCTCCGTGTGCTTCAGCTCCAGAATGCCATCGCTGTTGTGCACCCCTGACGGCCCGTGGTAGATCGGCCACTTGCTCTCTCCGCCGCCGTGCCTGTCCATCTGCGAGCCGTCCACGTAGCCCTTGAGGTGGTTTGGGAAGTCCTCGGGCTTCGTGGCAAACAGGTGATGCTCGAGCCCCATGTTCGCCATCGCCTCGTCGTCTGCGAAGAACAACGCGTGCAAGTGCGGCCGCCCGGACCCGTCGTAGCGCTTCGTCCCCTCCTTGCGGCTCCCGTCTTGGAGCTCCAAGCGCGTGAAGGACTGCACGCGCACCTGCTTCCCATCTGAGTCTTTCGCCGAAAACACGTGCTTCGTCCACGACTTACTCTCCCGATCCATGCGCTGCTGGTTGTTCCCCGCGAGGAGGCCACGGACAATCTCCATGATCACGTGAGTGATGTGCAGCGTCTCTCCCACGGGCAGATACATGCGGGTCCTCCGAGTCTTCTCCATCTCATCCCGCAACCAGTCGTGGTACCTGAACGCTGGCTCCCACGGCGCAGTGGTGAAGAACAGCTTGGGGAAGCCGATCTGGCGGACAAGGTCCACGAGCCCGTTGTGAACCTCCTTCCAGTACAGAGGTGAGAAGGTATGGCCCTTCATGAGCACTCGCATGGGAACGTTGTCCAGACCCAGGTTCTTCTTCCCGCCGAGCGTGGCCCACAGATTCAAGTCGTACACGAACTGCAATAATTCGAAATTGGACCCGTACCCCAGGAGTGGTGATAAGCATCGTGATGAAGGACCGCTTGACGCTCGTGCTCTCGCTCCTCTCCTGGTCGCCGCTGCCGTCGTCTTCGTCGGAGTCGTCACTGCGGTAGCCGTACTCCGGCTTCTTCTTCGCCTCCTGCGCCTGTCGTCTGTCTTCGCGACGCGCATCCGACCACTGCTCCTTAGTCTCCGTCATCTCCGTGCACCAGTACAGGTGTGGCCACAGCGCGCACTCCAGCCCGACCTCCTGCAAGAAGTGGCACGGCCACTTGCGCTTCCTATCAGCGGCATCTTCGCCGTTCTTGCGGAGGAACTTCTCATGCATGTCGTAGAAGTACTTCTACGAGGAGTCCTCGCATGACAGCAGGTACTCCAGCGCCCTCTTCGCCCTGTGGCGCATCTCCTTGTCCTCGATCTCCTTGATCTTGTCACGCACATGCCAGCGAGAGAAATAAAAGGTGATCATCTTCACCTTCTTCCGATACCCGTTCGGCCGCCCGAACTTGTCGGTGGACCGCGTCTCGGGGCCGACATCAATGTCAATGGGACTCAGCGCCTCGACGGCCTCCTCGGAGAGCCCGCGCAGCTTCTTCGGCACCTGCTCCGGCAGCGGCACGAACATCTTGCGGGAGGCGCTGCACCGACGGCAAGCGCTCTTCGAGATCTCCTCGCTGGCGTCCCGGAACATGTCGACCTCGTGCATCGGGCGCGGCTGCAGGACGCTGCACTCCTTGCACATCCCCCAGGAGCCGCGCAGAGCCCAGGACTCCAACCCCTTGGAGAGATCGCTGAAGCGCGCTGCCTCCAGCGGCGGGTCCAACTCCTCTCCCTTGGGGATCTCGTCGGCGCGCCCGCGGACTCTCCTCTCGGCCTTGTCCTTGAAGAACGAGTTCTCCACCTTCTTGTGGTTCTCCAGGGTGAGTCTCCGGAACTTCTTCCGCGCCTCCCTGTCGTCCGCTGGATTCTGCATCTGCAGAGCGCGCCTCTTGAGCTTCTCTGGCCAATCGGTCTTCCCGCTGCGCCTCCGGGCTCTCTGAGCGCGGGCCGCCTGCTGATTCTGGCGAACCGTCTTCTTCCGCATCTGCGCCACGTAGTCGTCGCCGTAGACGCTCTTTAGGATTGCCTCGGCCTTGTCGAACACAGCCTCGTCCTTCTCGCGAAAGGCTTTCAATTGCTTCAGCAAGCCGCTGCGCTTGACGCCCTGCATGCCGCGCAGCCTCTGCGGGTCGCACCAGCTGCACAGGTGCTTGTCCTCCTTCAGCACGCGCGCTGGCTGACCCGGATTCGCTGTGCTGAACGGGCACGCGTGCTCTCCCGCCCCGCGGCAGCAATGGTGTGGAGTTACAAGAACCTTGTAGTCATGCAACGTCAGGTGCCTGCGGAGCCTCCCGAGCGCTTTCGCATGGAGAGCCGCGCTCGCCTGCTTGAACTTGTTCAGGTCGGCCATGACGTGCTTCTTCTTCATGAAATTCTGCGCCGCCTCCTTCATGCGCGCAGGCGTGCAGAAGACACAATGACCGCCCGCGGCAAGGGCACGTTCGCTGGGCTCCGCCCTGGAGAAAGCGCACACGCCGCAGTCGCCTTTGCCCTTGAGCTTGCGCCCCATGGCGCGCCCGAGGGCGTACCCTTCGCACAAGCGCTTCCCTGTGCGCTCCACAGCAGGCGGCGGCGGCGGCAGCTCCGCTGCGTCCGGCGCGCCGCCGGGCACCTCCTCGACAAGCTCCATGACGACGTCGCCCTGGTCATCCACCGGATCCTTCGCTGGCGCCGCGGCCTGCTGGTTCTTCGCGACGATCTCCTTGGCGCGGGAGATGAGCTCGTCTCCGCCCTCGCACATGGCCACCCTCTCCACAGCGATATCGTAGATGCCCGCGTCGAGCTTCTGAAGATTCGCCAGGCTGTGAGACGCCAGCTTGGAAAGCCGCTGCGTCTTGCAAATTGTCTGCATGCGCACTGGCGAACACCGCTGGCATTGCCCGTTGTACTTCGCCTGCGCGTGCTTGCCGGCGTCCCACGGGCTGAAGCAGCACTCCATCACGGCGCCGTCCCCCATGACGAATCCCTCGCAGCGACGCGGCCCCATGGTGGGACTGCGCGACAAGTGCCGATGTCAAGAAACTGCACAGACTGATGGCGGCGGGTGCGCCTGCCAGACAATCGGGGAGCGTTGCAGATCTCTCCTGAGCCCAAATGGCAACGGCGGCGTGCCAGAGAACATGCTCCAGCATTTCTATGCGTCATCCCGCGATGCATCGCCTCTGCGTCGAGAGCCCCCCCAGGAGCGCAACCAGCATTCCACCATCTGCCGCGGGCCATTGAGGCGCATCGCCAATGCATCGTGCATCTGGAAGAGGCCGCTGCCTGCTGCGCCTTTCAGGAAAGTGAGAGCCGCGACTCCAATACAAATGTTCCGACGCTGTTCTTCCATGCGGGATTGCACCACATGCCTCCACCGCGACATGCTGGGACGCATCGCCAATGCATCTCGCACCCAAAGCTCGCAAATTGCATCCGCGCTCTCCTGCATTCGCTCACAGACGTTCGAACAACGGGGATAATCCTGCATACCCGACGCCTGCCGTTGGAAACTGCACCGCCCATGCATCTCTCCGTCCATTTAAAACACCCCCTGCTCCGAATGACTACTGCAGCACATCGCCAATACATCTGTCTCTACTGTCCTCTGCGAAAGATGTGTTCGAACATGTCTCCTAGACCTGTGCGCGCGCAACTCGTCCCTGGCAACGCATGTTCATTTCAACAGTGTGCGAGGGGGAGCCAGACCCCCCCCCTCGCTCTCCCCCTTCCAACCTGCGAACACGTGCGCGTGTCATGCCATAAAACGCACTCTCCAACACTGCCCGTGCGTCGCATCTCCTCTTCCGAGTCCGTGAATGGCCAGGGCTGTGTGCAACTTCTCTTGCTCACACCGCATCGCCCGAGGCGCGCCTGGCGTGGGCCGCGGCCGCAGCGAGCGCAAGGGCTACAGCGAAGGCGCCGACTGTGGCGTCCTTCAAAAATAGCTCGGAGATAGCGCTCACGAGCGCCCGAGGCACGCCTGGCGTGGGCGGCGGCCGCAGCGGGCGCAAAGGCTACAGCGAAGGCGCCGACGGTGGCGTCCTTCAAAAATAGCTCGGAGATAGCGCTCACGAGCGCCCGAGGCACGCCTGGCGTGGGCGCGGCCGCAGCGGGCGCAAAGGCTACAGCGAAGGCGCCGACTGTGGCGTCCTTCAAAGATAGCTCGGAGATAGCGCTCACGAGCGCCCGAGGCACGCCTGGCGTGGGCGGCGGCCGCAGCGGGCGCAAAGGCTACAGCGAAGGCGCCGACTGTGGCGTCCTTCAAAGATAGCTCGGAGATAGCGCTCACGAGCGCCCGAGGCACGCCTGGCGTGGGTTGCGGCCGCAGCGGGCGCAAAGGCTACAGCGAAGGCGCCGACTGTGGCGTCCTTCAAAGATAGCTCGGAGATAGCGCTCACGAGCGCCCGAGGCACGCCTGGCGTGGGCGGCGGCCGCAGCGGGCGCAAAGGCTACAGCGAAGGCGCCGACTGTGGCGTCCTTCAAAGATAGCTCGGAGATAGCGCTCACGAGCGCCCGAGGCACGCCTGGCGTGGGCGGCGGCCGCAGCGGGCGCAAAGGCTACAGCGAAGGCGCCGACTGTGGCGTCCTTCAAAGATAGCTCGGAGATAGCGCTCACGAGCGCCCGAGGCACGCCTGGCGTGGGCGGCGGCCGCAGCGGGCGCAAAGGCTACAGCGAAGGCGCCGACTGTGGCGTCCTTCAAAGATAGCTCGGAGATAGCGCTCACGAGCGCCCGAGGCACGCCTGGCGTGGGCGGCGGCCGCAGCGGGCGCAAAGGCTACAGCGAAGGCGCCGACTGTGGCGTCCTTCAAAGATAGCTCGGAGATAGCGCTCACGAGCGCCCGAGGCACGCCTGGCGTGGGCGCGGCCGCAGCGGGCGCAAAGGCTACAGCGAAGGCGCCGACTGTGGCGTCCTTCAAAGATAGCTCGGAGATAGCGCTCACGAGCGCCCGAGGCACGCCTGGCGTGGGCGGCGGCCGCAGCGGGCGCAAAGGCTACAGCGAAGGCGCCGACTGTGGCGTCCTTCAAAGATAGCTCGGAGATAGCGCTCACGAGCGCCCGAGGCACGCCTGGCGTGGGCGCGGCCGCAGCGGGCGCAAAGGCTACAGCGAAGGCGCCGACTGTGGCGTCCTTCAAAGATAGCTCGGAGATAGCGCTCACGAGCGCCCGAGGCACGCCTGGCGTGGGCGGCGGCCGCAGCGGGCGCAAAGGCTACAGCGAAGGCGCCGACTGTGGCGTCCTTCAAAGATAGCTCGGAGATAGCGCTCACGAGCGCCCGAGGCACGCCTGGCGTGGGCGGCGGCCGCAGCGGGCGCAAAGGCTACAGCGAAGGCGCCGACTGTGGCGTCCTTCAAAGATAGCTCGGAGATAGCGCTTGGCGTGGGCGGCGGCCGCAGAAAGGCTACAGCGCGCCGACTGTGGCGTCCTTCAAAGATAGCTCGGAGATAGCGCTCACGAGCGCCCGAGGCACGCCTGGCGTGGGCGGCGGCCGCAGCGGGCGCAAAGGCTACAGCGAAGGCGCCGACTGTGGCGTCCTTCAAAGATAGCTCGGAGATAGCGCTCACGAGCGCCCGAGGCACGCCTGGCGTGGGCGCGGCGGCCGCAGCGGCGCAAAGGCTACAGCGAAGGCGCCGACTGTGGCGTCCTTCAAAGATAGCTCGGAGATAGCGCTCACGAGCGCCCGAGGCACGCCTGGCGTGGGCGGCGGCCGCAGCGGGCGCAAAGGCTACAGCGAAGGCGCCGACTGTGGCGTCCTTCAAAGATAGCTCGGAGATAGCGCTCACGAGCGCCCGAGGCACGCCTGGCGTGGGCCGCGGCCGCAGCGAGCGCAAAGGCTACAGCGAAGGCGCCGACTGTGGCGTCCTTCAAAGATAGCTCGGAGATAGCGCTCACGAGCGCCCGAGGCACGCCTGGCGTGGGCGGCGGCCGCAGCGGGCGCAGAGGCTACAGCGAAGGCGCCGACTGTGGCGTCCTTCAAAGATAGCTCGGAGATAGCGCTCACGAGCGCCCGAGGCACGCCTGGCGTGGGCGGCGGCCGCAGCGGGCGCAAAGGCTACAGCGAAGGCGCCGACTGTGGCGTCCTTCAAAGATAGCTCGGAGATAGCGCTCACGAGCGCCCGAGGCACGCCTGGCGTGGGCGGCGGCCGCAGCGGGCGCAAAGGCTACAGCGAAGGCGCCGACTGTGGCGTCCTTCAAAGATAGCTCGGAGATAGCGCTCACGAGCGCCCGAGGCACGCCTGGCGTGGGCGGCGGCCGCAGCGGGCGCAAAGGCTACAGCGAAGGCGCCGACTGTGAAAGATAGCTCGGAGATAGCGCTCACGAGCGCCCGAGGCACGCCTGGCGTGGGCCGCGGCCGCAGCGGGCGCAAAGGCTACAGCGAAGGCGCCGACTGTGGCGTCCTTCAAAGATAGCTCGGAGATAGCGCTCACGAGCGCCCGAGCGCACGCCTGGCGTGGGCGGCGGCCGCAGCGGGCGCAAAGGCTACAGCGAAGGCGCCGACTGTGGCGTCCTTCAAAGATAGCTCGGAGATAGCGCTCACGAGCGCCCGAGGCACGCCTGGCGTGGGCGGCGGCCGCAGCGGGCGCAAAGGCTACAGCGAAGGCGCCGACTGTGGCGTCCTTCAAAGATAGCTCGGAGATAGCGCTCACGAGCGCCCGCGGCACGCCTGGCGTGGGCGGCGGCCGCAGCGGGCGCAAAGGCTACAGCGAAGGCGCCGACTGTGGTGTCCTTCAAAGATAGCTCGGAGATAGCGCTCGCGAGCGGGCGCGGGGGCGAGGCCGAAGGCGCCGTCTGTGGCGCCCTTCAAAGATAGCTCGGACATAGCGCCCAGAGGGCGCCAGGCGCCACGCCAGGCGCGGGCCGCGGCCGCAGCGGGCGCGGGGGCGAGGCCGAAGGCGTCGTCTGTGGCGCCCTACAAAGATAGCTCGGAGATAGCGCCCAGAGTGCGCCAGGCGCCGCGCCAGGCGTGGGCCGCGGCCGCAGCGGGCGCGGGGGGCGAAGCCGAAGGCGCCGTCTGCGGCGCCCTTCAAAGATAGCTCGGAGATAGCGCCCAGAGGGCGCCAGGCGCCACGCCAGGCGTGGGCCGCGGCCGCAGCGGGCGCGAAGCGAGGCCGAAGGCGCCGTCTGTGGCGTCCTTCAAAGATAGCTCGGAGATAGCGCCCAGAGGGCGCCAAGCGCCACGCCAGGCGTGGGCCGCGGCCGCAGCGGGCCCCCGGTCCCGTGCTCCCCGGCGCTCCCGGGCGCTCCCGGGCGCTCCCAGGTCTCCAACCCAAGCGCTCCCAAGCGCTCCCAGGCGCTCCCAGGCGCTCCGAAGCGCTCCCAGGCGCTCCCCGGCGCTCCCAAGCGCTCGCGCGTCGAAATGTCTATCACATAAAGAAATGTATTCGTCGAAATGTCTACGACCTAAAGGAGACGTCAGCCCGTCGAAATGCCTGCGACAGTAGGGGGTGCTGGAGCGTCGAAATGTCTACCACATCAAGAAATGCGTTGCCGTCGAAATCCCTGCGTCGTCTTCGAGAGTGAGGCGGGCCGACATGCCTGCGCCTCGCATATCTTCTGCGTAGACGTTTCGACGGTCGAAACGTCGAAATGTCTACGGTGTCTTCGGGGCTCGATTCGTCGAAATGTCTACGACAACAAGACTGCCTTTGTCGAAGCGTCTGCGGGGCAGGTCCGGCCACCAGGGCCCCTTCGTTTCGACATTCCTATTTTTCTAATGTCGGAGACATTTCGACATTCGGACCCCGCTACTGTCGTAGACATTTCGAAGAGCGGATGCGCCCCCGGTCCTGTCCGGCGATCCCAGCGCTCCAGGGCGCTCCCAGGCGCTCCCAGGCGCTCCCATGCGCTCCCAGGCGCTGCCAGGCGCTCCCAGGCGCTCCCAGGCGCTCCCTGGCGTCCCAGGCGCTCCAGATGCGCTCCGAGGCGCTCCAGAAGCGCGCCAGGCGCTCCCAGGCGCTCCCAGGCGCTCCAGGCGCTCCCAAGCGCTCCCAAGCGCTCCCAAGCGTTCCCAGGCGCTCCCAAGAGGCGCCACGCCGGGCGCGGGCCGCGGCCGCAGCGGGCGCGGGGGCGAGGCCGAAGGCGCCGTCTGTGGCGCCCTTCAAAGATAGCTCGGAGATAGCGGGAAACCATGGGATTGTCGCGCCAGCGCCTCCGCAGTGCTGCTTTCCAATGCCGAAGGCAAATGCCGGGCCCCTGTGGAACTGCTGCGCCAGCGGCAGCCCACCGGCGAAGCTCCACGCCGAAAGTGCAAACGGCTGCCTCGTCGACGAGGCGACCTGACGCGCCAGCGCCATGCACCCTGCGCGCGTGTTCGCATCGGCGCGCATTGCCACGGCCGCGGCCGCACGCGCGCATCCCAGCATTCACAGCCCAGTGTCGCAACCCAGTGCCGAAGGCAAAGGCGGCAACGCATGCACATGCTGCGCCAGCGGCAGCCCAACGGCGAAGCTCAACGCCGAAATCGCCAAAGGCTGTCTCTTCGACGGGGCGACGAGCCGACGCGCCTGCGTCACGCGCCCTGCGCGCATGCTCAAATGGATGCGCAGTGCCGCGGCCGCGCCGGGGATCGCCTGCGCGCGCCACTTCGACAGCCCCCCGTGATAGGGGGGTTGGGGGGAGAAACCCTAAACCCTAAAAGGCTTCACTCTGGGTGGTCTGGGGCGGGAGTGCGACTAACCGTGGCGCGCGCGGCCTGGGCAGCGATCCCCCCCAACGGCCTTGATGCGGGGGGGATCGCAGCCAGCGCGCGCTTTCTCTAATGCAGGCCCTAAACCCTAAACCCTAAACCCTAAATTCCCAAGCACCTCGCTGTGCTTCTGCCCGCCCCACCGCGCATCACCGTCGCCGTCTATGAGAGACAGGGCATCTCTGAGATGCTTGAGCATGTAGCCCGAGTGGTTCGCCTTGGCAGCTTTTGCTGCTGCCCTCCCCCTCTTTTGGGGATTCGCGCTTCAATGATAAACCCCCCGTGGTCCTCAACGAATATAACACCCTAAACCCAATGACCTTTTCTTCTGACCGCCGGGGACGCCTGGGAGCGCTTGGGAGCGCCTGGGAGCGCCTGGGAGCACCTGGGAGCGCCTGGGAGCGCCTGGGGGCGCCTGGGAGCGCCAGGGAGCGCCTGGGAGCGTTTGGGAACTCCTGGGAGCGCCTGGGAGCGCTTGGAGGGCGTGCCGGGAGCGCCTGGGAGCGCCTGGGAGCGCTTGGGAGCGCCAAGGAGCGCCTGGAAGCGCCAGGGAGCGCCTGGGAGCGCTTGAGCACGCGCCGGGAGCGCCTGGGAGCGCCTGGGAGCGCTTGGGAGCGCTTGGGAGCGCCTGGGAGCGCCTAGGAGCGCCCGGGAGCGCCAGGGAGCGCCTGGAAGCGTTTGGGAGCGCTTCGGAACGCGCCGGAAGCGCCTGGGAGCGCGGGGGAGCGCATGGAAGCGCCTGGGAGCGCTTGGGAGCGCCTGGGAGCGCCTGGGAGCGCCTGGGCGCGCTTGGAAAACATTTGGGAATTTAGAGGCCAACGGCCCTAGACCCTAAATGGCTGTAGTTTGGGAGGTTGCCGGCCATGCGGCCGGGGGTGGGAAGATGTTGCACCTCCTGCCCCCTTCGCCGCGCTTGCTCGGGTCGGCTAACCGCCCCCCCAATCGAGCTTGCCGAAGGGGGGGCAGCGCTGCCTGGACTGTCGGCCGCTGCGCTAAGAGAAGCCCTAAACCCTAAACCCTGAACCCTAACCCCCTAAACGCTGAACCCTAAATCTCTAATCTCTATAATTAATAAAAGCCCCCAAGACAGCCCAAGAGGCCTCCAAGACGACAAGAGCCTTCCAAGAGGCCTCCGAAGAGAGCCCCAAGAGGCCAAACTCGTTGATGTTCATTGGTTTTTTTTTTTTTTTTTTTTTTTTTTTTTTTCCATGTTTTTTTTGTGTTCTGGCTTTTTCGGCTTCCGGACGCTCCAAGACGGCCCAAGAGGCCCCCAAGACCGCTCCAAGACGGCCCACGAAGCTCCCAAGACGGCGCCGAAACGACCCAAGAGAGCCCTCAAGACGGCCCAAGCGCCGCCCAAGACGGACCAAGAGGCCCCAAGACGGGCCCAAGAGGGACTCAGGAGGGATACCGAGAACTCAAAAATGGAGCCCTCCGTCCCAGAAGGCGCCCAGGAGGTCCCAAAGAGGCCCCAAGAGGCCTCCAAGAGGCCCCAAGATGTCGCCAAGAGGCCCCAGGAGACTCCCAGGAGGCCCAAAAGAAGCCCCAGAAGGCTTCAAACATGTCTCCCAGGCGCCCCCGAACGGCCTCTCAACAGACCCCAAGAGGCCCCCCGAAGAAGCATCTTGACGACGACTCTATTTCGCCCCATCGAGAGACGACCCCCAGGGAACTGCTTCACCATCAAAACTCCCCACGCAACGCGCCCGAACGACACCCGCCCCCAAGAGCGCAACATGGGCAACGAACACGCAGACAAAAACCAGCGATGCCATATCACGGGCCGGCGGAATGAGCGAAGCGATTCAATAAACCCTAAATCCTTCCAAACCGGTCGCTATGCATCCCGGGCTCCACCCCTTGCAGAAAATAATATTTCCTGATCATGCGATCAGAGAACCATATTTTTTCCCAACCATCCTGTGGTGTTGGGTCCTCGTTTTGAAGAGACGGTGCCCGCGTCCTCTCCTCCTCCTCCTCTTCCCCCTCCTCCCCCTCCTCCTCCCTCCTCCTCCCTCTCCTCCCTCCTCTCTGCGTTTCACCCACCCATTACAACGCTTCGTGGCTCCATAGGGAGCTCCACCGAAGGCCCCAGTGGGGGTGTTCGCATGCGGTTCCCCCACCCAGGGCAGCGTTTCGTGGCTCCATAGGGAGCTCCACCGAAGGCCCCAGTGGGGGTGTTCGCATGCGGTTCCCCCACCCAGGGCAGCGTTTCGTGGCCCCATAGGGAGCTCCACCGAAGGCCCCAGTGGGGGTGTTCGCATGCGGTTCCCCCACCCAGGGCAGCGTTTCGTAGCCCCATAGGGAGCTCCACCGAAGGCCCCAGTGGGGGTGTTCGCATGCGGTTCCCCCACCCAGGGCAGCGTTTCGTGGCCCCATAGGGAGCTCCACCGAAGGCCCCAGTGGGGGTGTTCGCATGCGGTTCCCCCACCCAGGGCAGCGTTTCGTAGCCCCATAGGGAGCTCCACCGAAGGCCCCAGTGGGGTGTTCGCATGCGGTTCCCCCACCCAGGGCAGCGTTTCGCGGCCCCATAGGGAGCTCCACCGAAGGCCCCAGTGGGGGTGTTCGCATGCGGTTCCCCCACCCAGGGCAGCGTTTCGTGGCCCCATAGGGAGCTCCACCGAAGGCCCCAGTGGGGGTGTTCGCATGCGGTTCCCCCACCCAGGGCAGCGTTTCGTGGCCCCATAGGGAGCTCCACCGAAGGCCCCAGCGGGGGTGTTCGCATGCGGTTCCCCCACCCAGGGCAGCGTTTCGTGGCCCCATAGGGAGCTCCACCGAAGGCCCCAGTGGGGGTGTTCGCATGCGGTTCCCCCACCCAGGGCAGCGTTTCGTGGCCCCATAGGGAGCTCCACCGAAGGCCCCAGTGGGGGTGTTCGCATGCGGTTCCCCCACCCAGGGCAGCGTTTCGTGGCCCCATAGGGAGCTCCACCGAAGGCCCCAGTGGGGGTGTGCGGTTCCCCCACCCAGGGCAGCGTTTCGTGGCCCCATAGGGAGCTCCACCGAAGGCCCCAGTGGGGGTGTTCGCATGCGGTTCCCCCACCCAGGGCAGCGTTTCGTGCCCCATAGGGAGCTCCACCGAAGGCCCCAGTGGGGGTGTTCGCATGCGGTTCCCCCACCCAGGGCAGCGTTTCGTGGCCCCATAGGGAGCTCCACCGAAGGCCCCAGTGGGGGTGTTCGCATGCGGTTCCCCCACCCAGGGCAGCGTTTCGTGGCCCCATAGGGAGCTCCACCGAAGGCCCCAGTGGGGGTGTTCGCATGCGGTTCCCCCACCCAGGGCAGCGTTTCGTGGCCCCATAGGGAGCTCCACCGAAGGCCCCAGTGGGGGTGTTCGCATGCGGTTCCCCCACCCAGGGCAGCGTTTCGTAGCCCCATAGGGAGCTCCACCGAAGGCCCCAGTGGGGGTGTTCGCATGCGGTTCCCCCACCCAGGGCAGCGTTTCGTGGCCCCATAGGGAGCTCCACCGAAGGCCCCAGTGGGGGTGTTCGCATGCGGTTCCCCCACCCAGGGCAGCGTTTCGTAGCCCCATAGGGAGCTCCACCGAAGGCCCCAGTGGGGGTGTTCGCATGCGGTTCCCCCACCCAGGGCAGCGTTTCGTGGCCCCATAGGGAGCTCCACCGAAGGCCCCAGTGGGGGTGTTCGCATGCGGTTCCCCACCCAGGGCAGCGTTCGTGCCCCATAGGGAGCTCCACCGAAGGCCCCAGTGGTGCGCATGCGGTTCCCCCACCCAGGGCAGCGTTTCGTGGCCCCATAGGGAGCTCCACCGGAGGCCCCAGTGGCTGCTCTCGCATGCGGTTCCCCCACCCAGGGCAGCGCTTCGTGGCCCCATGGGGAGCTCCACCGAAAGCCCCCGTGGCGCAGTTCGCATGCGCTTCCCCCACCCAGGGCAGCGTTCGTGGCACCATAGGGAGCTCCACCGAAGGCCCCAGTGGCGCAGTTCGCATGCGGTTCCCCCACCCAGGGCAGCGTTTCGTAGCCCCATGGGGAGCTCCACCGAAGGCCCGCCCCGGTGGCGCAGTCCGCATGCGGTCCCCCCATCCAAGGCAGCGCTTCGTGGCCCCATATGGAGCCCCACCGAAAGCGGCACCCACAACGCGTTACCAACAATTGCTTATGGTTGGGTCTTTCGCCAGGATAATTTACAATGCATTGTGCCCGGCCCCGGTCGCGAACCGGGCTTTTCCATTGCAAAAAAATATCATATCCTGATCATGCGATCAGAAAACCTTATGCTTTACAATGCAAAGTGCCCGGCCAATGTTTGCGACCCCGGCTGTAAACCGGGATTTTATATTGTAAAAAATACTATAACCCTCGCAGTCTGCCTTTCAACACCCTCCATCCTTTGCAACAAAAAATTATATTCTGATCATTCCTCGTTTCTGATGTGTAATTTCCATGGTAAAAAAAAACAATATAAACTCAAAATTATGTTCTTGCACGATGTGTCCATGCTTGTATTCTATTGCAAAAATTATGACACAGTGCAAACGCGCGCGGCGGCCGCGCGTTTATGGCGATATCTTCTGCAACAACATCTGTTTTCAATGTTTGTTTTTTCCAGCAGTGATAATGTGATATTTGGATGTGTTCATTTTTTCAGCAGTGATATAATGTGATATTTGGTTGTGTTCATAGCATAGCCTGGCCATGCAATAATATAACGCACCATACCAGCTCCAGGACCTGATATTATAGACACCTCATGGCATAGCATGACAATAGGGATAGCAAATCACCTACGTCAGACGCGAGGCTCCCCTGAATTAGGGGATTCTCCATTGTAGCGTGGCCATGGCAAAACATAGCACAACATAACAGGATCAGAGCTTCGAAGATCTTGATGGTATAACATGACATCTTCCGACACATAGAAGGTGGTCCACGATCCAGGGTTCAACGCTACATAACGAAACGTGGTCCCAGCATAGGCTGCATTGCAGACCAGCTGGCCCATGAGCGACCAGATTGCAATATGTCACATGGCTAACCAGATGAAATTTTTCTTAACCACAACCATAGAGGTCCGGGAGAAAGCGATCGGTTCCCTGACACGTATATTAGAAACGCCCATGCCACATCAGTACGCCACGAGGTCGCATACACGGCGAGACGACTCCGCCAGCGCGAAATAGTGTATACGAACGCGAATGGGGTGACACCCCATAGTATCATCACCAACCAATTCGCCCGAGCATGTGGTCCCGCATGTTCGCGCCCATAGCCGTGGACGAATCGTCGGAGTCCGATGTCGACTCGCTGTCCGACTCATGCGTTCTGATTTCTTGTGAACTTCTGAAGTCGAGCTTGCTATGGGGATCTTTACGGCCCCCTATGTAAACCACCCACAATCCTATGCAACAAATACTATAAACTGATCATGCGTGCTCCCAGGCGCGCCCCTGGATCGAGCCTGCTATGCGGATCTTTACGACCCGCGATGTAAACCGCCCACAGTCCTATGCAAAAAATTCTATTTCCTGATCAGGCGTGCTCCCAGGCGCACCCCTGGATCGAGCCTGCTATGGGGATCGTTGCGACCCGCTATGTAAACCAACCACAATCCTATGCAAAACATATTAATTCCTGATCATGCGTGCTCCCAGGCGCACCCCTGGATCGAGCCTGCTATGGCGATCTTTGCGACCCGCTATGTAAACCAACCACAATCCTATGCAAAACATATTATTTCCTGATCATGCGTGCTCCATGGGGGGGGGGGGTCGAGGAGCACGTCGAGGTCGGGCGAACCCTAGAGTCCGCCCGACCCGACCCGACCCGCTTGTTAGGGTTCACGCGTGTCAAGTGCACGCGCGCCACACTTTAATGCCCCGCCCGCCCCGACCCGACCCGCCCGTTAAGGTCCGTCCGACCCGACCCGACCCGCCCGTTAGGGTCCGCCCGCCCGACCCGACCCGACCCGCTCGTCAGGGTTCACGCGTGTCAGGTGCACGCACACCAAGCTTTAATGTCCCGCCCGCCCGACCGGGCCCGCCCGCTAGGGCCCGCCCGACCCGACCCGACCCGCCCGCTAGGGTCCGCCCGCCCGACCCGACCCGCTCGTTAGGGTTCACGCGTGTCAAGTGCACACGCACCATACTTGAACGTCCCGCCCTCCCGACCCGACCCGCCCGTTAGGGTCCGCCCGACCTGGCCCGACCCGCCCGTTAGGGTCCGCCCGCCCGACCCGACCCGACCCGCCTGTTAGGGTCTCCCGCGCGCGCGCGCGCGGCCGCCGCCTCTTTGCTAAGCGCTTGCTCCCAGGCTTGCTATGGTATGCTTTGCTACGCTGCAGCCACGGTATAACACGAGAGGAGAAATGATCTTTATGTGGGGGTGGAGATGCGGGGGGGATTGATAGCCACCGCAGGTGGGTGCCTATGCAGGTAGGTATTCTTGGCCTTGCCCTGTTAGACCTTAAACCCTAGACCCTAAACCCGCGGCGGCCGCGCGATCATGGCGAAACCTTTTGGAACACAATGTGTTTTCATTTTTTCAGAAGCGATATCAGCAAAACATGTGAAAACATATGATTTTCTCATCCTACAATTGTGCAGGATCGCCCTCCGCGTGCATCCTGAATCATTGAAAAACTCATGGTTTTGCAACATTCTTGTAAATCGAGGCGTCACAAACAACTTTTGAGCGCGCGGCGAATGTGGCCATGCTCATATTCCATTGCAAACAATACGACAAAGTGCACACGCGCGCGGCCGCCGCCTCTTTGCTAAGCGCTTGCTCACAGGCGCACTCCTGGATCGAGCCACGCTTGCTATGGTATGCTATGCTATGCTACAGCCACGGTATAACATGAGAGGAGAGATGATCTTTATGTGGGGGTGGAGATGCGGGGGGGATTGATAGCCACCGCAGGTGAGTGCCTATGCAGGTAAATATTCCTGGCCTTGCCCTGTTAGACCCTAAATCTTTAATCCTTATAATTATTAAACCCTAAATCCTTCAAAACCGGTCGCTATGCAAAACCCCCTCCATCCTATGCAAAAAAGAATTATTTCCTGATCATGCGATCGGAAAACAATTTTTTAACCATGCATTCTGCCCGGCCCCGGTCGCGAACCGGGCTCATCCATTGCAAAAAAATACTATATCCGGATCATGCGATCCGAAACCATATTTTTTACCATGCAAAGTGCCCGGCCGTGGCTGCGGCCCGGTATGTAAACCGGGTTTTATATGGTAAAAAATATAAACTTAATATTCGGCTCTTGCAAGATGTGTCCATGCTCATACTCCGTTGCAAAAAAAAAAACGCCAAGGTGCACGCGCGCGCGGCGGCCGCGCGATCATGGCGAAATCCTTTGAAACACAATGTGCCGACATGGCTTTCCATGATTGTCGACACCTCATAAGCTTCGTGTTGTAGCACGCACGCCATCTGTTAGAGCGATGTTGTCACAAGGAGAGGAGAGATGATCTTTATGTGGGGGTGGAGATGCGGGGGGGATTGATGGCCACCGCAGGTGAGTGGCTATGCAGGTGGGCATTCCTGGCCTTGCCCTGTTAGACCCTAAACCCTAACCCCTAAACCCTAAACCCTGGCGACGACGACGACGAGGCCGACGACGACGACGGCGACGGCGACGGCGACGGCGGCGACGACGACGACGACGAGGCCGACGACGACGGCCACAACGGCGTCGACGACGACGGCGACGACGACGACGAGGCCGAAACCCTAAACCCTAAATCCTAAAAACTAAGAGCCTATAGAGATTTAAATCCTAAAAGCCCTTCCGCTGCCCTTGCGCCCCTCCTTCGGCCGCCCCCCCCCATTTTGGCGCACCCCTCGCGCAGATCCTTGCCCTCGGAGCGCCAGGAATGGCGTTCTGGGAGGATCTGCAAATCCCAGGGCGCGCCCCTCGCGCAGATCCTTGGCCTCCGAGCGCCAGGAATGGCGCCGGGCGCCCCCGCGGCGGGCGAGGCGGCCGCGGGCGCTGCGGCCCCCCCTCTGCGAGCTCGCGGGAGGGCGGCCCGGCGGGCGCGGGGTGGCGCGCCGACCCTTCGGCGGCGCAGGCGGCCGCCGGCCAGTTGGGCGGTGCGCCCACGGCGACCGCGGGCGTCCCTGCATCGCACAGGGACTCGCGTCAAAAAGCGTGGTTCTTCAAATCGCGTCGTCACGCGCGCGGGCCACATCGCCGTTGCAGCCGCGTCCCAGGTGTCTTTGCGCGGCCGCGTCGTCGTCGTTTTGAAAACAGTATCAACGTCGTCGTCATCGGTGTCGTCCTCGTCGTCGTTTTGCGAGTCGCGTGTTGATACCGCATCGAGATCAATATGTCTTGGGTCATGGGTGGGTGGGACACGGTCAAGTGGGCTGCAAGTTTGGGCTAGTGAACCCTAAAGCCCGCTAAACCGGTCGCTATGCATCCCCCCCTCCATCCCTTTGCAAAAAAATATTATTTCCTGATCATGCGATCAGAGAGCCATATTTTTTACAATACATTGTGCCCGGCCCCGGTCGCGCTCCGGCTCTATCCATTGCAGAAAATATTATTTCTTGATCATGCGATCAGAAAGCTTTTTTTTTACAATACAAAGTGCCCGGCCCGGTTCGCAACGCTGCATGCAAACCCGGGTTTTGTGTTGTAAAAATATTATAAACTTCGCATTCTGCTCTTGCGCGATGCGTCCATGCTCATATTCCATTGCAAAAAAATACGATAAAGTGCACACGCGCGCGGCGGCCGCGCGATCATGGCGAAATCTTTTGAAACTCAATGTGTTTTCAATGTTTTTCAGAAGCGATATCAGCAAAACATATGAAACATATGATTTTCTCATACCACGCTATAGTACAGGTTCTTCAAATTTTGGTGACCTCGCCTCTTTGCTAAGCGCTTGCTATGGTATGCTATGCTATGCTACAACCACGGTATAACATGAGAGGAGAAATGATCTTTATGTGGGGGTGGAGATGCGGGGGAGATTGATAGCCACCGCAGGTGAGTGCCTATGCAAGTAGGTATTCTTGGCCTTGTCCTGTTAGACCCTAAGCCCTAAGCTTGCGCGAGCGCTTGATGGGCGCGCCAACCATACCCGACGCTCCGAGCGAGCCGGCGCGAGCGGAACAGCTCCGGAACAGCGCGCCGGCACGCTCCCAAGCGCTCGCAAGCGCTCCCGGCACGCTCCCAGGCGCCCACAGGCGGTCTCGAAGCTCCCAGGCGCCCCTAAGCGCTCCGGCGCTTCTAAACGCTTCTGGCACGCTCCCAAGCGTTCCCAAGCGCTCCCAAGCGCTCCCGAACGCTCCCGGCAAGCTCCCGGGCGCTCCCAGGCGCTCCCGGCACGCTCCCGGCACGCTCCCGGCACGCTCCCAGGCGCTCCCAGGCGCTCCCGGGCGCTCCTGGCATGTTTCCGGGCGCCCCCAGGCGCTCCCGGCACGCTCCCTGCACGCTCCCGGCACGCTCCCAGGCGCTCCCAGGCGCTCCCGGGCGCTCCCGGCACGCTCCCGGGCGCTCCCAAGCGCTCCCGGCACGCTCCCGGTACGCTCCCAAGCGCAGGCGTTCCCGAACGCTCCCGGAACGCTCCCGGGCGCCCCCAGGTGCTCCCGGCACGCTCCCGGCACGCTCCCGGCACGCTGCCAGGCGCTCCCAGGCGCTCCCGGGCGCTCCCGGCACGCTCCCAAGCGTTCCCAAGCGCTCCCAAGCGCTCCCGGCACGCTCCCAGGCGCTCCAGGCGCTCCCGGGCGCTCCCGGCACGTTCCCGGGCGCTCCCAGGCGCTCCCAGGCGCTCCCGGCACGCTCCCAAGCGTTCCCAAACGCTCCCAGGCGCTCCCGGGCGCTCCCGGCACGCTCCCGGGCGCTCCCAGGCGCTCCCGGCACGCTCCCGGCACGCTCCCGGCACGCTCCAGGCGCTTCCAGGCGCTCCTGGGCGCCCGGCACGCTCCCGGGCGTTCCCACGCGCTCCCGGCACGCTCCCGGCACGCTCCCAAGCGCTCCCAGGTGCTCCCAGGCGCTCCCAGGTGCTCCCAGGCGATCCCAGGCGCTCCCAGTGCTCCCAAAGGCTCCCAGGCGGGGGCGCGATCTTCGAGCGGGCACGCACGGAAGCGCTCTCGGCGAT